AGCCTCCAGTGTGTGCGATTCCCGTGTAGTGTCCAGTGTAACAACACTGAGATCAGGGAGATCCTCTCAGCTCAGTCTCACTAGGGTCACCCATTAGCACTGTTTACACACTCACCACCATCTACACCAGTTTACACACTCACCAGTTATATTATCATCAGTTACACACTCTCCAGTTATACTATCCCCAGTTACACACTCAGCAGTTACACACTCACCAGTTACACTATCACCAGTTACACACTCACCCTAACTAAGCAGAATAAAAAACTCACAAGTGGGGAGGGAGTTTGGTCACATGAGGTCTTTTAATAAAGTTTTTAAAAATTCCCATATACCTCTCCCCACTCTCCCCATTGACCCCGATCTCACAGCTAGCCTCGGGGGGGGGGGCATTCAAGTTGGCTTCCCGGAGGGGTTTAGTCAGGCAATGGCCTAGCCTCTCGGGGGTCTCCTGGGGTGTCTCCTGGTGGGGGCTGCTCAGTCGGGCAGGGTCCTGGCCTCTCCAGCTTTCAGTCGGGCCTGATCTACAGCGTCCAGCAGGTTTTTGGAATCCACGGCCAGTGTGTGAGCAGCCGCCAGCATCAGCCGCTTACACTCATCACTGAGAGACGTGACAACGTTCTGCTGCGTCAGTCGCAGTTTGTTAATGAGCTCTGACAAGTCCTTGTTCAACAGCTTCACTGTGCCCTGGATCTGAGAGAGAGACAGCGTGTGTGAGAGAAAGGGTGAGAGGGGGTGTGAGTGAGTGTGAGAGAGAGACTGTGTGAGTAAGTGTGAGAGTGTGTGTGAGACAGTGAGTGCGAGAAAGAAAGTGAAAGAGAGTGTGCGAAAGTGTGAGATACAGGCTGTGTGTGTGAGGGGGAATGTGAGAGTGTGAGGGAGTATGACAGAGAGACTGTGTTTGTGTAAGAGAGGGGGATAGTGAGAGGGAGTGAGAGTGTGTGAGTGTGACAGAGAGACTGTGTGGGGGGGGGAGAGTGAGAGAGTGTGAGAGTGTGTGAGTATGTGATGGGAAGACAGAGTGAATGAGTGAGAGTGCGTGAGAGAGTGACAGAGAGAGACTGTGTGTGGGGAAGATAGAGAGGATTAGAGGGAGAGTGTGAGAGACAGACAGTGAGAGGAGAGGGAGTGAGTTTAAAACAGAGTGTGAGAGAGGAGTATTAGAGTGCTTGAGTGAGATGTGAGTGTTTGAGGGAGGGAGTGAGTAATGTAGTGAGTGGGTGTGTGACGGAGTGAGTGTGTGACGGAGTGAGTGTGTGAGGCGGTGAGGGGGTGAGTGTGTGAGGGGGTGAGTGTGTGAGGGGGTGAGTATGAGGCGGTGAGTGTGTGACGGGGTGAGTGTGACAGTGTGAGGGGTGATTATTTGCGTGTGTGTGTGGGGGGGTGAGTGTGAGGGGCTGAGTGTGAGTGGGTGAGTGAGTGAGGGTGTGAGTGAGTGTGATGGGGTGGGTGTGAGGGGTGAGTGAGAGTGTGAATGAGCGTGAGGGGTGAGTGTGTTTGAGGGGTGAGTGTGGGGGTGGGGGCTGACCTCTGTGCGGGAGGAGGGGGGAAGCCGGGGGAGGAGGGTGTCCACACTGCCAATCAGTTTCCGTAGAACCAACCCCACCGTCTGTGGGCAAATCATAGGGTTAGCCCTGCAATGACCCCACTCGCAGCCCCCCCCCACCACCCTCTCAACCCCACCCTCCATTCAGCCCCCGCCCCTCAATCCCACCCTCCACCCTCAGCCCCCGCCCCTCAGCCCCCACCCCTCAACCCCACTCTCAAACCTCAGCCCTGCCCCTCACCCCACCGCCCCTCAGCCCCACCCTCAATTCTCAGCCCCCGCCCCTCAGCCCCCCGCCCCCTCCCCGTGAGGCTGACCTTGACCAGGACAGTGTACTGCTCTGGCGGTAGCTGGAAGATGTGGGATTTGAGCTCCAGCACAGCCCTGACCAACTCCATCACATTAGGGTAAACCTCATCGTCCGTCCTGTCCAGGTTAGCTGTGGCCGCCGTCTGGATCAGCTGTGGGGGGGGCGGGGGAAGAGGGCATCACTATGGGCAGCACCCCTTCCCTCCCTCCCACACACACACCCCCCCTCACAGACACTCCTCCCCCCATAAACCACCCCCTCACAGACACTCCCCCCTCATACACCCCCCTCCTCACACAGACACTCCCCCCTCATATATACCCTCTCACACATACACTCCCCCCCCATACACACTCTCACACAGACACTCCCCCCCACACACACACCCTCACACAGACACTCCCTCCCATACACCCCCCCTCACACAGACATTCCCACCCCCCTACCAACATACCCTCACACAGACACTCCCCCGCATGCACACACACCCTCACACAGACATTCCCACCCCCCTACCAACACACCCTCACACAGACACTCCCCCGCATGCACACACACCATCACACAGACATTCCCACCCCCCTACCCACATACCCATGCCTCAACGCCCCATACATACATATTGTGACACCCCCAACGCATCCACCTACACACGCTCACCCTCACACACCCTCACCCACACACACAACTCCCACACCCCACAAACAACCCCCCCCAGCACCCCCACACATGTCCACACATGTGGAAATCTCCTGGCGGAATGGAATGCGTGCTCTCCCTCTCTCCTTGGTGGGATGCATCCTCCTTACCTAATTCCAGAAAGCATTAGGCGCAGGTTGGGGCGAGACAAGGCTTGGGGACTCCAGAGTGTGGGATCATCGGCAGGACCTGGAAGGGCAGACTAGGGGTCACTGGGGGCAGGGAATCCTCCCCCATGGCTGCTGTTAACCCTGCAGCCAAAGCACTAACTAACGGGGAGGGAGGTCCTAGCTGTACAAACAGCGGGAAATCTTTCCAGATAGCGCTCTCAATGGCAAGCTATGAGGGTTTAGCTGGTTAGACTCCAGCAGTGACCCCAACACACACTCTGGGCTCCCCCCAAGCCTTGGCTCTTGCCAATCTGTGCCCAATACTTTCCGGAATTAGGTAAGCAGGGGGCGTCCCTCCAGGGAGAGAGAGCACATCCCACGGGGAGATTTTCAAATGTTAGTGTAATCCATATAACACAATGGAGAGAGAGCAGGGAATGGGGTTAGAGTAGAGAGCTCCAGTGGAGGAGCCCCAGCACAGACACGATGGAGAGAGAGAGAGAGAGCAGGGAATGGGGTTAGAGTAGAGAGCTCCAGTAGGGAGCGAGCCCCAGCACAGACATGGTGGGGAGAGAATGGGGGAATTAATGAGAAATCCTACTGGTGGGTTTTTCCTCCGTGGTTTTTCGGGGGGGACTGTGAACTCCGCTAGAAACAGAAAAAAGGAGGCCGGTCAATCTCTCTCCACCAATCCACCCCACCAACACGCGCACATACACACACACACACACATACACACCCACACATACATCCACACACATACATACACACATATACACCCACATATACACCCACACATACACATAACACCCACACATACATAAGCATACATATATACATACACACACATACACACACTCACATACACACACACATACATACATACATATACACCCACACACATACATACATACATACACACATATACACACACATACACACATATATACACACACATACACACAAACATACACACACATGCATATACACACATAAACACCCACACACACATACACACACACATATACATACACACATGCACACACATACACACTGCTGACAGCTCCACTGAAAGGACAATTGTCTGATATCAACTGTCAACACTGTCATAATAACTAAAATAACCTGACATCTTATCAAGCGCCACTTTCCCTGGGATGACGTCTCAAAGCATTTGACCGGACTCTTGTGAAGTGTAGTCTGTGTGTTTTGTGAGCTGACGCTACTTTGCGCACAGCAATGTTCTGCAAACAGCTGTGAAATGAGCGAGCGATTTTATTTGTCAGCTTGGACACTGGGAGAGAAACTTCCTTCTCTTTTCACGACAGTGCCAAGGAGGTATTTAATGTCCGACTGAACATGGCACAGACTGAGAGAAAGTGAGGTTTAACTTTTCATGGAATGGATGGCGTCTCCGACAATGCAGTGCTCCCCCCAGTGCTGGCTGTAAGGAGGTTTGAGACGTCCTCCTGGTGTGAAAAACGCTGTATAAATGTATATTGTGTTGTGTCATCTGAAAAATTCTCATTTCACTGAGTGACAAGATGGGTTAACTCACTGCAGTCTGGATCCTTGTCAGTGTCCTGAGACAGAGAGAGAGAGAGAGAGAGAGTTAGGAACACACCTCACACCAACCCTCAGAAACCAGTCACCCACACTGACACCCACAAACACGCTCACACTGACCCCCACATACCCTCACACTTAACCTCACACTGACTTCCACACTGACCCTCACACTTACCTCCACACACACCCTCACACTTACCCTCACACTGACCGTCACACTGACCCCACACATAAGCTCACACTGACCCTCACACACCCTCACAGTGACCTTCACACATACGCCCACACTAACCCTCACACTGACCCCCACCTTGAACCTCACACAGTCTGGAACACACTCTCACACTAACTATCACATATACCTACCCTCAGTCATGGAGTATCAGTGACGGACGGACGGACGGACGGACAGACGGACAGACAGACAGACAGACAGTTGTTGTTGATGGACAGACTGAACAAGTGACAATGACAGTTATTGGAGACGAATGGTAAACATTGCATAACTTACATCCCGTAAATTGGAGCTCTCGGTCGGAGCCTGGGGACATTGGGGAAAAAATAGATTAATGCCAGAGGTCGGGAAGTGCTGCGGCATGAAGCGATTCGAAGACAAATGTGAGGATCTTGAAATCAATCTGTTCTGTGATACGCAGCCAGTTGAACCTGGCGAGGGCTTGGGTGATGGGGGTACGGAGTTTAGTGTGTGTGGTGGGGAGCTAGGGAAATAGAGGTTGTGCTTGCAGCCACTGCGCTACAATACTCTGAAACACTCCCTCAATCCCTCCACCTTGTCCCCTTCTCCCTCTTTTAAGTCCCGCTTACAAACTTTCCTCTTCGACAGTGCTTATGGCCACCTCTACCCCCCTCCCCGGCTTGGAGTCAGGCTCCGCCACTGTCCACCTTCCCATGCCTCATCCATCCTCTCCTCAAACTCTTAACTGTGAGGCGATGCTGGACTTACTCGAATCCCAATTCGAGGGGATACATTCAGCCACCTCTGCCCCATCCACAGCCACCCCCACATCACCTCTCCCTTATGACCCACCCCCCACTCATCCCCCCCATACTCCTTCACTCCTATCTTACCCTCCTCCCTCACTGCGACTGTTCGCAAACTCAAACCCACCACTTGCTCCCTCGATCCCATCCCCACCTCTCTCATCTCCCAGCTCCACCTTCTGGCCCCTCTCCTGTCCGACGTCACCAACCTCTCCTTGTCCACCGGTTCAGTTCCCACCCCCCCTAAAAACAGCTGTCATCACCTCCATCCTGAAAAAACCTTCCCTGGACCCATCCCTCCTCTCCAGCTCCTACCCCATCTCTAACCTCCCATTCCTCTCCAAGGTCCTGGAACAAGTCGTCGTGTCCCAGCTCCACTCCTTTCTCTCTCGCCATTCAGACACGAGCTGGGGTCAGGGGGCGAGAACCCCTCCAATCCGGCTTCTGCGCTGCCCACAGCACGGAAACAGCTCTGGTCAAAGTCACTAATGACATTCGGAACATCTGTGATCGATTCTGTTGTCGGGCCCTCCAGAGTCTCGTCCCTTTCTACAGCTACAATTGTATCCTTAACTAATATTGCCACCGCTTCACCCTTTCTTCCTTCTCTATCCTTCCTGAACACATTATACCCTGGAATATTTATCTCCCATTCCTGTCCTGGCTTGAGCCATGTCTCAGTTACTGCTACCACATCGTAACCCCTTACGGCCAGTTGAACCTGCAGCTCATCAACCTTATTCCCTAAGCTATGTGCATTTAGGTACATGCATTTAAGGAAATTGTCTACATGTACCTGCTCTATATTTCCCACTTGTCTTTTTCCTCTATTCCCTAATCTATTGTTTATCCTGGGATACCCATCCCCCCTCGCCACTAGTTTAAATTAGCCCCCCAGCATTCGATAATCTCTTGGCCAGGAAGTTAACCCCTGCCTTGCTTAAGTGCCGCCCATCTGCAAGGTAATGATCCCACCTCCCCCAGTAGTGGTCCCAATTGTCCACAAAACGGAAACCTTCTTTTCTGGACCATTTTTCCAGCCAGTCGTTCATACGCCTGATCCTTTCATTATGGTGCCCCGTTGCCTGAGGCACCGGGAGTAACCCAGAGATCACCACCTTGGATGTTCTGACCTTGAATTTGTTCCCCAACTTTTGATACTCGCCCTCTTCTTCCCAACATACTACCCACACACACACACATACACCCACACATAGACGCTAACACATCCATAAGCTCCTCACACACACTCACACACAGACAGGCACAACCCCTCACACACAGCCCGTCTCACACACACACGCATTCACATTCACCCAGCTCCTCACACACAGCTCCCCACACATACTCACACTGAACCCCGTCACCCATCAGCCCGGCCCTCACCAGCCTCCACTGACTCCCTATCACACACTAAACCCTGTACCCCATCACCCCAGCCCTCGCCAGCCTCCACTGGCTCCCTATCACACACTAAGCTCAGTACCCCATCACCCCAGCCCTCACCAGCCTCCACTGGCTCCCTATCACACACACTAAACTCCGTATCCCTTTCAACAACGACGACAACTTGCACTTATATAATGCCCTCCACGCAGGGTAGTGTCTCAGAGCACTTAACAACAAGATTACATGTGTATAGCGCCTTTCTCGTCGGGAGGATGTCCCAAGGCACTGGACAGTGACAGCATTTCAGACCCGAGCTGGGGTCGGGGGGGGGGGGGGGGGGGGTGGTGGTCGGGGGTGGGGGGGTGGCCGATGGCATGGTCGAAGAGGAGAGTCTTGAGGCGGGACTTGAAGGAGGCTAAGGAGGGGGCGAGGTGGAATGACTGGGGACTGCAGTTCCAGAGGTTGGGGCAGAGTGGCTGAAGGCTCTCCCGCCAATGGTGGGGTGGGTGGGTCGGGGGACATGGAGCAGCCAGAGCCGGCTGAGCGTTGGTAGGGGGTTAGGAGGTGGTAGAGTTAATTTTGATGGGCTAAAGAGGGACCGAGAGTTGGTGGACTGGCAAGTAAGAATGGCAGGTAAAACGACTCATGAGCAATGGGAAATCTTCAAAGATACGATAGCTCAGGGTCTAAATAGATATATTCCAACAAAAGGGAAATGTGCGAGAACCAAGGATGCTTGGATGACCAGGGATAATCTGTCTCTGACGAAAAAGAAGAAGATGGCGTACAACAAAAAGATGCAAGACACTGAGGATAGCAAAGCACATAATAGAGAATGCAGTAGTGATCTTAAAAGAGCGATAAGACACGCTAAAAGATCGCATGAGAAGAGGTTAGCGGATAACATAAAGCGGAATCCTAAAATATTTTATAAGCACATAAAGGAAAAAAGGTTAGTTAAAGGTTGGGTGGGGCCAATCAAAGACAATGACGGCCATCTTGTTGTGGAGGCAGAGGGATGGCTGATGTACTGAACGAGTACTTTGCATCTGTCTTCACAACGGAAACGGATGCCCCAAATGCCGCAGTATTGGATGAGAGGGAAGAGGACATAGATCAGATTACTATAGACAGAGAGGAAGTTCTGAAAAGATTGACTGGGCTCAAAATTGATAAGTCCCCAGGACCAGATGGGTTTCACCCAAAGTTGCTGTGGGAGATATGGGTTCAAATAGCGGAGGCTTTGGCCATTATATTTCAATCGTCATTGGACACAGTAGTGGTGCCAAGAGACTGGAGAGTGGCTAATGTTACCCCACTCTACAAAAAGGGGCATAAAGACAAACCCGGAAATTACAGGCCAGTCAGCCTAACCTCGGTAATAGGAAAGCTACTGGAGACCGTAATCCGGGACAGAATAAATCTCTACTTAGAGGAACACGAGGTAATTAGAGACCCCCAACATTGATTTGTTAAAGGCAAATCTAATAGAATTTTTTGAAGAGGTAACTGCGAGGGTTGATGAGGGAAATGCGGTGGACATTAATTACATGGATTTTAAAAAGGCTTTTGACACAGTAATGCATAAGAGATTAATAAAAAAACTGGAGGCCCACGGTATTAAGGGGACAGTAGCCGTTTGCATTAAGAACTGACTGAGTGACAGAATGCAGAGGATGGTGGTTAATGGGTGTTTCTCGCAATGGAAGAAGGTGTGCAGCGGTGCCCCAGGGATCGGTATTGGGACCACTGCTCTTTCTAATATATATTAATGATCTGGACTTGGCCATAGGGAGCACTATTTCCAAGTTTGCAGATGATACCAAGTTAGGTCGGGTAGTAGTAGTAGTAGTAGTAGTAATAATAATAATAATAATAATAATAATCCTTGCATTTGCTATAGCGCTTTTCACGTCTGGAGGACGTCCCAAAGCGCTTCACAGAACACACTGTAAAGTGAATTGACTGTATATTTGTGGGCGAACGCGGAAGCCAATTGCGCACAGCAATGTCCCACAAACAGTCGTAGATTGAAAATGACCAATTTTTTTTTTTGTTTTGTTTTTTGGAGGGATTATTATTAGGCTCTGTGTGGAGTAAGGAAACTTGCCCAAGGTTTCGCCCTCTGCCTGGAATTGAACTCAGGTCTCTCGCTTCCAAAGTGAGCGCTCTAACCACTGAGCTACAGGACTCCATAGTAAATAGTGAAGAAGATTGTGATGGACTGCAGGCAGACATACACAGAATGCTGGAATGGGCTGACATGTGGCAGATGGATTTCAATGTGAATAAGTGTGAGGTGATACTTAGGGAGGAAAAATGATAGGAGGCAATATAGACTTGGAGCTCAATCTTAAAGGGGGTAAACGTACAGAGAGATATGGACGTTCAAGTAAGCGATTCATTGAAGGTGGCAGAGCAGGTAGATAGGGCAGTAAAAAGGGCATTTGGTGTACTGAGCTTCATTAGTAGGGCATAGAGTATAAGAGTAGGGGTTATGGTTAATCTGTACAAAACACTGGTTAGGCCTCAGCTGGAGTACTGCGTCCAGTTCTGGGCACCGTACCTCAGGAAGGATATTAAGGCACTGGAAAGGGCGCAGAGGAGATTCACGAGAATGATACCAGGAATGGGGAACCTTAGCTATGAGGACAGTGGAGAAGTTAGGACTTTTCCCATTAGAGCAGAGAAGGTTACGCGGGGACCTGATGGAGGTCTTCAAGGTCATGAAAGGTTTCGACAGGCGAGATAGGGACAAGCTGTTTCCGCTGGTCGGTGTGTCTGTGACCCGCGGTCACAGTCTGAAGATATCACCAAAAGAAGCAGAGGGGAGGGTTAGAAGAAATGTTTTCACTCAGCGAGTTGTTGGGCTTTGGAATGATCCACCTGAAAGAGCAGTGAAGTCCGATTCGATAACAGTTTTTAAGAGAGAACTGGACAGGTATCGGGGAAGACGGGTTTGTGGGGTTATGGGGAAAAAGCTGGTGATTGGGGTCAGTGAGAGTGATGCTCTGTCAAAGAGCCGCACAGACTCGATGGGCCGAATGGCCTCCTTCTGTGCCGGAACATTCAATGTTTCTATGATTCTATGTGTGAGGGGCTGTGTGTGGGTTTGTGTATGAGTGTGTGTGTGTGAAAGGCTGTGTGTGTGTATCTGTGAGGGGCTGTGTGTGTGTGAGGAGCTGTGTAAGATGGTGGTCTTGCTCTCTGCCCCACACTCACCAGCAGCCTCTCCTCCTGCTCCAGCCACTTGCTGTCCTCCACCATCTCGCGCTGCTGCTGCCGGATCCTGGCCTGGAGCTCGGCCTGTTCCACCTCCCACAACCTCAGCGCCTCCTGCTTACTGCTGGGCTCCACCATGAACTCAGCCTCCTGCCGCGCCCCCAGAAACCGTCACATAGGCATCAGTCATCAGCACCCCCAAACCCCAGCTGCCAGTCCCGAGCCCAATTCAACCCTAGCCCCTGATCCCAGACCTCAAACCCAACCCCAGACCCAACTCCTGGCCCCCCACCACCAAACCCCAGCCTCCATCACCCAAATCCCAGCCCCTGATCCCAGACCTCAACCCCCAAACCCAAGCCCTCAAACCCCAGTGCTCAAACCCCAGCCCCCAAAACCCAGCCTCCAGCCCCCAAGCCCAACCCCAGTCCCAAACCCCAGCCCACAAACCCCAGCCTCCAACCACCAGTTCCCAGTCCTCAAACCCCAAACCCTAGCCCCCATCCCCCAACCCCCAAAAGCCAGCCCCCGACCCCAGCCCTCAACTCCCAAACCCAAGCCGACAAACTCCAGCCTTCAACCCCAGACTCCAACCCTCAAACCTCAACCTTCAAACCCCAACCCTCACTCCCCAGCCCCCAACCCTCAAACCCCAGCCACCAGCCCCCAACCCCAGCCCTCAACTCCCAGCCCCCAAACTCCAGCCCCCAACCACTAGCTCCCAGCCCCCAACCCCAGCAGCCAGCCCCCAACTCTCAACCCCAAACCCCCAGCCCTCAACCCCAACCCTCAACCCCCAGCTGCCAGCCCCCCAGCCCTCAACCCCAACCCTCAAAACCCAGCCACCAACCCCCTAACTCCAGCCCCAAACCCCAGCCCTCAAACCCCAAACTTCAAACACCAGCCCCCATCCCCCAAACCTCAGGCCCCAGCCCTCAGACCCCAAACACCAGTCCCCAGCCTCAGCCCTCAAACCTCAGCCCCCAACCCGCAATCCCCAACCCCAACTCTCAGCCCCCAAACCCTAGCCTTCAGACCCAAGACCCCAGCCCCCAAACCCCAGCCCTCAAACCCCAGCCTCAAACCTCAAACCCTAAACCCAGCCTCCAATACCCAGCCCCCAACCCTCAACCCCAAACCCTCAAACCCCAACCCTCAGTCCCCAACCCCAAACCCTCAAACCCCAGCCGCCAGCCCCCAACCGCAGCCCCCAAACCCAGCCCTCAACCCCCAAACCCCAGCCCCTAGACCCCAAAACCCAGCCCTCAGACCCCCAACCCCAGCCTTCAACTCACAGCCCCCAGCCCCCAAACTCCAGCCCCCAACCCTCAACCCTAGGCTCCAACCCCAAACTCCAGCCCTCAACCCCCAACCACAACCACAGCCCTCAACCCCAACCCCAGCCCTCAACCCCCAGCCTTCCAGCCCCCAACCGAGCCCTCAACTCACAGCCCCCAGCCCCCAACCACCAGCTCCCAGACTTCAACTCCCAAACCCCAGCACCCAAAGCCAGCCACCAACCCCGAAACCCCAACCCCCAGCCCTCAACTCCCAAACTCCAAACACCAGCCCCCAAAACCCAGCCCCAATTCCCCCAGACCCCAGCCCTCAACACCCAACACCCAAACCCAAGCCCCCAACCCCCAAGGCCCAGACCCTAGCCCTCAACTCACAGCCCCTAAAGCTAGCCCCAGCCCCCAAACCCCAGCCCCCAAACCCCAGCCTCAAACTTCAAACCCTAAACCCAGCCTCCAATACCCAGCCCCCAACCCTCAACCCCAAACCCTCAAACCCCAACCCTCAGTCCCCAGCCCCAAACCCTCAAACCCCAGCCGCCAGCCCCCAATCACAGCCCCCAAACCCAGCCCTCAACCCCCAAACCCCAGCCCCCAAACCCCAGGACCCAGCCCTCAGACCCCAAACACCAGCCCCCAGCCCTCAGCTCCCAAACCTCAGCCCCCAACCCGCAACCCCCAAACCTCACACCCTAACCCCCAGCTCCAAATACCCAGTCCCCAACCCTCAACCCCCAACTCCAGCCCTCAAACCCCAACCCTCAGTCCACAGCCCCCAACCCCAAACCCCAGCCTCAAACCCCAGCCCCCAGCCCGTAAAGCCAGCCAACGAATCCCCAAACCCTAGCCCCCAAACCCCTGAACCCAGCCCCCATCCCCCAGACTCCAGCCCCCAACATCCAAACCCAAGCCCAAACCCCAACCCCCAGCCCCCAAACCACAGCGCCCAAACACCAGCACCAAACCCCAGCCCCCAGACTCCAACCCTCAGCCCACAACCCTCAGCACCCAATCCCCAATCCCCCAGCCCCCAAATTCCAGCTCCCAAATACCAGACCCCAACCCTCTGCCCCCAGCTTCCAACCCCCGGCCCTAAATCCCAGCTCCAAACCCCAGCTCAACCCCCAAGCCCCAGCCACCAAACCCCAACCCTCAGCCCCCAACCTCCAAACTCAGCCCCAGATCCCAGGCGCTAAGTCCCGGCCCCAAACCCCAAATGCCTGACCCAACCATCAGCCCCAACCCCTAGTCCCCAACCCTCAGCCCTCAACCCTCAGCCCCCAACTCATAGCCCCCAATCCCCAACCACCAAACGCCAGCCCCAACCCTCAGGACCCAAACCCCAGCCCCCAACCTCCAAAACCAACCCTCAGCCTCCAACCCCCAGCCCTCAGCCCGCAGACTTCAGCCCCCACCCGGCAGCCAGTCCCCAACCCTCAAGCCCCAACCCTCATCCCCCAAACCCCAGCCCCCAATCCCAGCCCCCAACCCTCAGCCCCTAACTCCCAGCCCTCAGCCCCCAACCCTCAATCCTCAGCCCCCAACCCTCAAACCCCAACTCCCAATCTCCAGCCCCAAACCTCAGCTTCAACCCTCAGCACCCAACACACAACGCACAGCCCCCAACCCCCAAACACCAGCCCTCAGGCCCCAACTCCCAAACCTCAGCCCCCAACCCCCAACCCTCAGCCCCCAATCCTAAGCCTCCAAACACCAACACCCAACCTTCATCCCTCAATCCCCAGCCCCTAACGCCCAGCCCCCAAACCTCAGCCCCCAATCCCAAGTCCCCAAACACCAACACCCAGCCCTCAGCCCCCAACCCTCAGCCCCAACTCCCCACCCTCACCCCTCAAATCCCAGCTCCCAGCCCCCAATCTCCAGCCCCCAAACCTCAATCCCTAGCCCCCAATGCCCAGCCAGTAGCCCCCAACCCACAGCCCCCAAACCCCTTCCCAGAGAGACTGTCACACGCCATCAGCCCTCAGACGCCAACCCCCAGTCCCCAGCGCCCAAACACCAACACCCAACCCCCAGCTGCCAACCCTCAGCCCCCAACCCCCGCACCTTAGCCAACAGTCCCGAACTCCCAGCCCACAACCCTCAGCCCCCAGCCCAGAGACAAACACAGGCACACACACAGGCACAGACATACAGGCACACACAGGCACACAGGCACACATATAGACAGGCACACACACACAGGTACACACACAGGCACAGGACCATTTACACAGACACAGGCACAGACACACAACAACAACAACAAAATTACATTTATGGAGCTCCTTTCATGTTGGGAGGACGTCCCAAGGCGCTGGACAGCATTTCAGACCCGAGCTGGGGTCAGGGGGCGAGAGGGGAGGGGGTTGACCGATGGCATGGTCAAAGAGGAGGGTCTTGAGGAGGGATTGAAGGAGGCTAAGGAGGGGGTGAGGCAGAATGACTGGGGGATGGAATTCCAGAGGTTGGGGCAGAGTGGCTGAAGGCTCTCCCTGGAGCGGGCGGGTTGGTAGGGGGTTAGGAGGTTGCAGAGGTATGGTGGGCGAGGCAATGGAGGGCTTTGTAGGTGAGGACCAGGGTCTTGAACTGGATCCTCTGAAGGATAGGGAGCCAATGGAATCGGCGAGAATGGGGTCACGGAGTTTGGTGCGGGAGAGGACACGGATCCAGAGTTCTGGACTATCTGCAGCTGTGGAGGGAGGAGTTGGGAAGGCCGACACACAGGGCTTTGCATAGTCGAGCCTGGAGGTGATGAAGGTATGAACAAGAGTTTCACGGCCTGAGGGTTGAGGTAGTGGCGGAGTCGGGCGATGTTACGGAGGTGAGGGAAGGCACACAGAAACACAGGCACACACACAGGTGCAGGCACACAGACAGGCACACACACAGATACACACAGACACATACCCCCCACAGGCACGCACAGAGACACAAGCACACACACAGGCACAGACAGACACACACACAGGCACACACACATACACTGGTGCGCACACAAGCACACACACAGGTACAGACACACACACAGGCACACAATCATAAACACACACACACACACACACACTCACATAGGCACACACACAGGTGCAGGCACACACCCAGGCACAGACAAAGGCATACACATACACACAGGCACACGCGCAGATACAGGCGTGCAAACAAGCACACACAGGCAGACACAGATACACACAGGCATACACAGGCACAGACACACACAGGCACACACACATGCAAAGGCACACACAGGCACACAAGGCACACAGAGGCACAGTGAGGCTGTCTTACCCTGACGCTAAGCCGTCGCCGAGACTTTTGCCGGAGCAGCGGTGAGGCTCGGGGGGAAGTACCGGCCGCCTGGTTCTGGGGGAAAGCAATCTGGGGCGAGCTGGCACACAGCGACTCTGGCACCTGAGCAAAGACACAGCGACACACAGCGAGACACAGCGATCAGCAACACAGCGCCGCACGCTCACAACCAGCGATCAGCAACACACACTCACAGCGATCAGCAACACACACTCACAGTGATCAGCAACACACACTCACAGTGATCAGCAACACACACTCACAGTGATCAGCAACACACACTCACAGTGATCAGCAACACACACTCACAGTGATCAGCAACACACACTCACAGTGATCAGCCACACACACTCACAGTGATCAGCAACAAACACTCACAGTGATCAGCAACACTCACAGAGTGCTGTCTCACACACACAGAGCAGTGACACAGCACTGTCACATACACAAAAATAACTACAACTTGCACTTATATAGCGCCCTCCACGCTGGGCAGCATCTCAGAGCTTAACAATGGCGGAGCCCGAGGCGCGCCAGGGAGAGGAG